TGACATAAACTTGGTTTAGGCTTGGGGTAACAAAACAGGAAGATTAAGTTATTTAACTGCTGGTGGGCTGCTTTATTACATTCTTACACTTCCCAAGACCATCTCACCAGTTCATCACCAGTCCACTCCTTGATTAAGCCAAAACTCTTTTGAAAAATAGAAAATAGAGGTAGCATGAAAGGCTTAAGGTATTTATATAAATCAGATCATTTCCATAGTTAAACACATGCTTGCTCCTCTCCTGTTGATCTGCAGAGTCCCTTCCCTTATTGGTTTACTGAATCTTCCAAATACATGGAAGATTTCCACAGTGGCCTATACCCAAAGGTAGCAGAGATCTCTATGATCTAGGGATCTAAATCAAAATGGACAGACTGATCTCTATGTGAGCCTAGTGAATATTGCCCTTCTGGGAAGGGGGTACAACATGAGGCTATAAGTCTTCCTCTTCCCTTCTAAGAGGAACTTGGAGGTGAAGAGTTGCCAACGGTTCATCTAATCTGTAAATCTGCTTCCAGCAGTGACCCACACTAGATAAAACTCCACAGTGTGTCTAAGTTATTCAGCAGCTATGGGGGCAAACTGTGTTTGTGACCCCAGCTGGTGATCTGTTTATGCCCTAGAGCATGAGGATTGATGGTCCTTATAATTGTTTTCTCAGCTACACTGGTGTCCCTGCAGATGCTTTGCTTATTCATTTGACTCCTTTGTTGGTAATCTTGCTAAAATATCTGCTTCGATAATAGCCGTCAGCCGTGAGCTACATTGACTAATTATACTTTACATTAAAAATTGTTCCCTCCTATTTATTTTTAATTTGTTGCCTTTTCATTTCATCAAGTGCCGCTTCATTTATATATTAGAGAAGTGGATAAAAATGGTGTGTTTGTGTGACCTTCTCTGTGCTCTCCACACCCTCTCTGCCTCCTCTTCACCATCCCTCTCCTCCTGAAGGAGGCTGAAGGACTGATACACACTTATCCAAGAGCTCATTTACAGTATTTTAGCAATGAAAGTGGGTGCATTTCTGTGATACCTTTCCAGTGTTCCCATTGCAAAGAGGTGATGTAGAGCTAGTGAGAATAGACTTTGACCCACTGGCAGAATTATCCCTCTTGGAGATTTGACACACCTCACAACAACGTATCTGTCCAATTTCCACTGTCAGACAACTTTATCTTTTTTTAAATAACAGAGCCATGAAATTATCCACTTAAAATACAACCCACTGAGTGCATCCATTTTCAGTCCTTGCAGTACTGAATCCAAAACAGTGGCCTGTATCTCTGATCGTTTCTGAAAGACACTCAACAACTATGGTTTGTTCTGAGCAACTCTTCCATGCTCCTTCTCTGACAGTGATTTATGACTAACCTGCACAATCTGATCTAGAAGATTATTAATTCTTTCTCTTCTCCCCCACCTGGTTTTCAGTGAGCTACCTTCAGTTGCAAAATCAGACAAGAGCAGGGCACTAGCTTTACTCTGCCAATCATGCTGTAAGGTGATTTCAAGAACGTGTTATCGCTATCCCTCACTAAGGGAGTCCCAAGTGCTGTACAAAGTAATGCACATGGAGCGCACCCTCGATGTAGGCTTCAAAACCAGAGGCCTTTTCTCAGAGAAATGCACAAAAAGGGCACAAATTAAGTATTTGCCTTCAGAGGTCTACACAACATAACTTCAACTTTCCACTGTCCTCTCTCTTACACGTTTCTTTAATGATCTGATCCAAAGCCCAGGAAAGCAATTTGAGAGGCTTCCATTAGCTCACACAGGCTTTCCAGATAAGACCAGAATCTCCTCTGGACTCTTCAAAACCTATTTGGCATCATCATTCACAGAATGAGAGAACAGAATGGTTGAGGTTGGAAAGGCCTCTGAAGGTCATCTTGTCCAACAACCCTGCTCAAAGAAGCACCAACTTCAGAAGATTGCTCAGGGTCACATCCAGTTGGGGGTTGAATATCTTCAAGTACAGAGGCAACAGAACCTCTCGGTCAACCTGCTCCAGTGCTAGACTATTTACACAGGAGAAAAAAGTGTTTTCTTATGTTTTATAGGTCATTCCACTTCTCAGGCTGTGCCTGTTGCCTCTTGCCTGTCACTGGGCACTACCGAGCAGTCTGTGTCCTTTATTCCTCCCATCAGGTATTGATATTCATAGATAAGATCTCCCTGAGCCTTCTCTCCTTCAGGCTGAGTATTGTTCCAGCTCTCTCAGCCTCTCCATTTTGCAGCAGCTGCTTCCACAGTTACTGGAAAGGCAGCACTAGTGATGCCCTGATGGAGAGATCAGTGCTGAATGACATTCTTCAAGGGACCAAAAGAATTCTAGAGTGGGCTGAGCCAATGGCTGCAAAAGTCCCTCTCCCTGGGAGTAAGGAAGTCAAAAGATATACGACAAAACCAGGGCTTAGATGAAACTAATAGATAAAAAATGAAAAGCAGACATTGTTTTAAAAGTCAGTTTGGTTTTTTTCTTCAGAAGACATGGCACAAGAGAAATGGAGGCAGAGTACCAACCCTTTGACTACAGCCAGACTCAGGGAATTCAGACAAAGGGGCTGACAGTCAGAAGTTTTTATTTATTACAGATCTACACTTCTATGCACATGCTTTGGCAGCAGCAATGTGTGGGTGGTCAGCAGGCTCCCCTGCTCATCTCACTCCCCTTACAGTGTTCCCCACCAAGGCCATGCAGACCATGGCAAGTGCTTTTGGGCAGCTGGAGAGACCCTAAAACACAAGAGCTGACCAGGCATGGCAAGCACTCCCAAAAACATTGAAGCCTGGGCCAGATGTGCAAAGCTCTCATCTTCTTGCTCAGAAAACTCTGGCTGGCTGCACGTGGTTGCCTCTTCTCTGCTTTTTGAGTATTAGCTCTCTGAAGGTTTGCCAGCATTGTCCAGGTTTCCCAAGGATGCTGCTAAATCACTGGCCATTCCCAGGCTGTAAAAGTGATATTAGGAAAAGCCACCACCCCATAGTTTTCCTCTCAGAACAGCTGGGAACTCTGAAAAAGCACATTCAACCTGCAGCAGAGAGAGAAAGTATCAGGAGAAAACCAGAGCATCTCCTGCCCTTAGTCAGGAGGGGTTGCAGCCTGCTTGGGTCGGTGGAGGGGGTAATTAGAAGTACATGCTGCCTTCAATGTGTGACTGCTGTCAACCACAGCCACTGCCTCCTGTCACCACGGCAACAGCCTGCAGCCAGGTTTATCATCTTTCTTTCAGTGATGCCTCCCCTTCCCCACATCCCTCACCCCCTCCTTTTCCCTGTGCCTGAGCCTGTAATTAATTGCAGCTGCTGACAAAGCCAGTCTTCATAATCTGCATCATTCAGTCAGAAGTTTCATTATTAATTAACTTCTTTCAAAGTTTAAATCTCCTAATTACAAGCAAATCCCTGCACTTGTTCTCCCCAACCCCCTGCCCCAGCCTCACTGCTGCTCTCCCTTCCCACAACCTCACACCTTCCCCAGTGAGGTCTGGGGCTTCCAACAGGTTTTGGGAACCAAAAGGAGACCCACACAATTTCTGCCCATGGTGAGCTCCTCTCCTTGGCACCACAAGGTGCTTCAGAGGAAGGTAGCAGAAAACCCGCAGCAACTCACTATGTAATAATGTAATAATTTGACCTTAAAGGTAGTTTTTTCCCCTAATGGTGACAGTTCACAGATGATTCAAGCCCTTTCAGATAAAAGGGTAATGGCTGTCATTTGAAAAACAGCAAAAGAGAAGTGTTTCCTGACTCCTTTAACCATGGGCTGTTATCCTTATCCACATAAATGTCTCCTCCTTGTAAAAGTCCTGTTAAGCTCTTAGTTTCAGCACTGTCTTCTGACATCAGGATCCATATCTAGGTTAATTATATTTTGATTAAAACATATTTCCTTGTACTAGTTCTATAGCTGGTGCCTGCCTGTGGCAGCAACACTTTGCTGCTGGGTGTCATCAGTGTCCTCCTGCACCCTGAGCAGGGCCCAGCCAGCTCCTGGCCATGGGCAGCCACTGTGTATCCATTGACCCTCCACCACATCTTCTGATGCACAGGGCAAATCTGGGATGGAAAGAGTCTCAAGGGGGTCACATATCACCAGTACACTCCAGGAGAGACCCATCATCCATCCCAAACCATTGGGGATGTGCCAAAAGCCACAGGTTACAGGACAGTTAGGGAGATAAGCAGGTGTTTCTGAGAGCTCGATGTGTTGTGGTGGTGCTTGATAACATGACTATGCATAATGAGAGATGATGTTAGAAGCAGGTGATGGGAGACAAGTAAAGCTTTTGGGCTTAATTCCTGAATGATAAATAATAGAAGCAAGGTCTGCTGTGCTGAAGCTATTAATAGTTTGCACCTGAAAAACTGAGTTCTACTTAATGTTCTTGAGATTGGTCTTAATCTCTGTTTTCTATCACTGGCAGAAGTACCACAGAGCAAAATAAAACAATACTTTTGGGTCCCCTCTCCTCTTCCTCCATCATCAGCTGAAGAGTAAGAGTACAACCAGGCACAAAGAGCTCCCCAGTGGCTGGCACTAACAGCACAGAAAATACATAAACTTTACAAGCATGACAATCCCTCAGTCTTTCCTGCTTTCCAAACTACTCCTAGGTTATGCCTTGTGCCAAATAAGGTCCGAAATATCTACCTGCAGTAAAAATACCTTGGCTACCAAGTACTTGCAGCAAGGGGGAAAAGCTAGCTCTGTGGTATGGCTAGTCATGGCAGAACCTGTTTCTGCCCTGAAATGAAGAGCAGTTCAGGGACTGCAGTGGAAACTTAGAGCCCCAGGCAATGCATCCCAAATACTGGCCACCCATGCATACAGCTCCTCGTGGCCTCCCATCTCTGATCCAGTGCCAGACAGGCTCAGCTGAGAACACCTTGCAGGTGAGACATCACATCTGTATAAGCACTCCACTCTGCTTCCCCTT